CTTATATATATTAAACATGAAAAACAAGTCTTATATTACATGAAATAAATTTATAGCAATATATTTCGTTAAAAAGCTATCTAAATTTGATTGAAAATCTTGGAACCACAACGAGCAACTTTTTTAAGAAACATGGAACATCAACAAAAAATTGCTCGTTGTTGCTCCAGCGAGGACATAGCTTTACATCTGAAAAATGATAAGAAAATACCACAAAAAGTGAACGAAATTCTTCATCAAACTTAAATATTTTCTTTAAGAAAATATATTTGCTATAAAATTATTTCATGTAATATTATATAAAATTAGACATATTTTAAAATACATATCAGTGATTGAAACAATTATTAGCACTAATTAATTTTTAGAATAAAATTTTGTTAATTTGCAATTCTACTTATAACTTTTAGATCATCACAATGATTTATTTACTTTTCATATATTATAGATAATAATGCAATCAGAATAAACAACTAATTAATGTGGTTGAACGATATAAATTAATGCGAATTGCGAGGTAATAACTTTTATTCTCATAAAATTATAAAATATATATAATTTTCAATTTGAATATTATAATTGCATTTATTTATTTTATTATTTTAATGAATCACTTTTCTAAAAAAAAACTTAAAATACGTAGAAAGAATTTAAAAGCTACATTTTATAAATTACAATTTTTTCAGTGAAATTTTACTTTCAAAAAGTGGAAGAGCAAAGTGTGAATGTTTAAATTAAAGATTAAGGAGATACTCATCTTCGGTGAAATCTTGTGTCATCGTTTAGTGATATTCTCAATATAAGTCATCAGTTTAACAAAGTAAAACTTCAAAGTATAATTTCAAAGGTATATCTTTATATCATCCTTACATCGGAACTTGTCTCCTCGCTTTCGTTAGCGAAAGTGAATGGGACGCGACAACATTTCCAATAAGTCGATTTGCATCAAAGGCTACTCTTACAAACTAGTAATTGCGGCTTATTGTATCGCGAATATATATTTTTCATAAATTCCATGAAGCAAGACAAAGAATTGAAATGAATACATTATAAGAATCATGCAATAGAATATAGAATAAAAAAGATAAAAAACATACCTTTTGTGTTTGAATATAAATTGTCAGTATTGATAGCTTTTTAAAAAGTCATTCATGTACATACATACGTCACAGATTAATAGACAGATCGCCAAAGGCCTGCCTAAAGAATAGACCGCCATCTTCGTGCGATAGACTTTGCCCCTTACCGACACACTTTGCCCCTGGTTCGAGTCCGTGCTAAATTTCGTAGACTTGAACCAAAAGACTTTGCCCCTGGTTCGAGTCCGTGCTAAATTTCGTAGACTCGACCAAAAGACTTTGCCCCTGGTGCAAGTCCAGGTTAAATTCGTTTGACATTACCAACAGACTTTGCCCCTGGTGCGAATCCAGGCTAATTGATCATGAGACCAATTTGAGAGATTTGGCCCCCGTTGTGTGTGTGTGTGTGTGTGTGTGTGTGAGAGAGAGAGAGAGAGAGAGAGAGAGAGAGAGAGAGAAAGAGAAAGAGAATATTTACATATGCATATATATATATATATATATATATATATATATATATATATAAAATTTATTAAATATAAAAAATATATTTTTTACACATAAAATGTTTTTTTATTGAAATAATCACGATTTTAAATGTGATATAACACAGTGTTCAAAAATTTTTAATTAAATTTTATTAAAGAAAATTACTTGAAATTTTTTACATTAAGAATTTAAAGGCTCCTTATTCTCTTGTAGAAATTTATCACTATGCCAATTAATCACTTATTTCGAGTATTTAAAATACTATAATATACAGTAATTTAAGTATTCGAAATAAAAGTGATTAATTACTCGAAATAAAATTGATAAATTGGCGTTACTAGTAATAAATTTCTATAAGGGTTGAAATAAAGTATAAGAGATAAATAGGCTATATGTGAGCCGTATGCGAAATGTGAGATGTAAGACGCATATTGAAATTTAATTTTTTATATAACTTTCAAAAATGTACACGAGGTACAAAAAATTAGCTTGGACATTTGTAAGACTTAAAATTGGGATTAATTCTCAATTCTATTAATTAAATTTCGATATAACACACCTTACATCCGCGCACGGCTCACATATAGCCCATTTATTAGTGCAATTTTTAAGTTCCTTATTTTTCAAAGTTCACCTTTTTACGTTATCAAATATTTTTGGTACGTTTTCAAGAATTTTATATTTTTACTTACCGCAGTTTCTTATCCAAATGTAAAATCTTTTATCGCAGTCTATAAAAAATTGAAACAATTTACAATTTTATGATATAATATTATTATTATTACAATTTCTATATATATGCACATCTGTCAAATATCGTGATTTATTTCACATTATTATTATCTATTTTAATAAAAAAAAAAAAAAAAACACTTGCAACAATCAAAAATAAACCGCCTGCCGCGAACGGAAAATGCCAAGAAAGCACGCAATTTCCGCGAATCTCGTAATTTTTTTGAAGAATCAACAATTTCAACGAAATTGTAAATTCTTCAAATCACTGCACAAGTATAATTCACAATAATAATTTTCAGTAACTACGATAAAAAATCGTATACTGAAAACCGCAAACGAAAGTGCAATGGAAGTAAGAGTAAAGTCTGTGATAAAATTAATTGGCAATAGAAAATTAATAATTTTCAAATAGAAAAATTTTGAAATTACCGAGGATTTACAAATAATAAAGTAAAAATATTAAATAATTTATGTTTTCGAATTTTGCTCGCGGAGAGGATCTTTAAAACAAGATTTTTAGAAGAGAGGACCTTTAAAATATAAACAGGCAAAAACGTTGAAAAAATTAAAGCGCGCGTTTAAACAGATAAACGCAATGAAATAGATACGCAATTGTTTTTACTTATCGCTGTAAGCTCACAAGCTTCTGACGTGCTATACACTTTTATATAATATATACAGGGTGTCCGGTAACTAACGGACCAATGATTAAGGGCGGATTCTCTGGCCAATTTGGAGACGATTTTTCCTTAGCAAAAATGTAGAGAAGTCAATAATTTTCGAGTTATAAGCGATTGAAAAAAATAGGTTTTTTGAAAACTAAACGTTTTGGAGTTAAAAGTCTAACATAATTACATTCTTCAGTTAATTTCAGGTAGAGTTTACTATAATAAAATTTTAATTTAAGGCTTAGTTATAAAGATATATAATGACAAAGATTGGAAAGTTGTAAAAAATGATGACCTTTTTCGACATTTTCGCTGAAGAAAAATCGTTCCCAAATTGACCAAAGAATCCATTTGTAATCATTGGTCTGTTAGTTACCGGACACCCTGTATATTGGACACGAGTTTCGTTTGTTTCAGATTCTCGAGAGTTGAAGTAGGAACATACGAGTATCATATATCGTTTGTGACTTGCCGAATGAAAGCAAGACAGAGAGCGAACGAGATGATGAGCTTAATAGCTCATAATGTTATAAATAAATAAATAAAAAATTATAACTTGACCTACTAGTTATTGAATCTTTTTTTAATAAAATGTTTCATTATTATTATCATCTAAGTCTAAGTCGTTTAATTACTTTTTAGTTTTTTAATAATTAATTTAATTTATTCTAGTCATTTTTATATGAGAAAAATAATATCACGTATACGTTTTATAATGAATTAATATATTTCGGGAACCGAATTATATATTCTTAATAATATTAAAGTGTTTAAAAATTATATTTGACTTTTAATTTTAATTATTTTTTAGCAAAGAGTTTCGAAATCTCTTACACACATAATGGGGATTTTTTTCATCCATATATTCGCAATTTAGTATATATGTTAATTATTAATTTTAATAAAATAAAAATTAAAATTAAAGGTCAAATATAATTTTTAAACACAAATATATTAAATTAATTATAAAACGTATACCCATGATAGTATTTTTCTCGTACGAAAATAATTAGAGTAAATTAAATTAATCATAAAAGATTAAAAATTAATTAAAGAATTTAAACTTATATTTTATATAATAATAATAAAACATTTTATTACGTCAAACCGTCGTGAAATAATTAAATAAAATTTGCTAGTTACGTCGAAGTCAAGTTTTCTAAGCTTATAAAACATTTTATTAAAAAACAGATTCAATAAATATAAGTACATGTTATATGTATACTTATATTTATTGAATCTGTTTTTTTTATAAAATGTTTTATTATTATCATATAAAATATAAATTATTTAATTATTTTTTATTTTTTTATGAGTAATTTAATTTATTCTAGTTATTTTTGTACGAGAAAAATACTATCACGGGTATACGTTTTATAACAAATTAAATATATTTATGTTCAAAAATTATATTTGACCTTTAATTTTAATTTTGTATTTTATTAAAATTAATAATTAACATATATACTTAATTGCGAATTATATGGATGAACAAAATCCCTATTATGTGTGTAAGAGATTTCGGAACTCTTTGCTAAAATAATTAAAATTAAAAGTCAAATATAATTTTTGAACACTTTTATATTATTAAAAATATATAATTCGACTCTCGAAATATATTAATTCATTATAAAACGTATACGTATTAGTATTTTTCACATATTGAAATGATTAGAATAAATTAAATTAATTATTAAAAAACTAAAAATTAATTAAACGACTTAGACTTAGATGATAATAATAATGAAACATTTATTAAAAAATAATTATAATAGGTCAGGTTAATATTTTATTTATTTATTTATTTATAACATCATAAAATTCTGTCCTTTCCGAAATACGCGAACGCTACGAAAAGATAAATCTCGTACATGCCGCCGGACGAGTTCATGAGCATGAGACGCTCTTATCTTGGGAACGTATTAATAGTTACTGCATTGACCACTACTACAATATGGCGCTGAAATCAGTGAGAAATGCTGGTCTCTCCTTCATCCAGACCTTTGGCGATCTGTCTATTAATCTGTGCATACGTGTACTTTCATTCATGTATGATTACATGGCATGCATTTAATTCATGAAGGTCGATAACGTCAATGTTTCTGTATATCTCTTTAATGTTGAAAGTTCAGAAAGTTGCCACAGTGTCGCCACAAACTGACAGCTTTCAATCAGCTGATTGCTCCGATCAGCTGACTGTTGCTCTCGCGTTCAGCACGCGTTCGTCGTTCACGTTTGATCGTGATTAATTAATTAATTTAACAGAATGAGCATACTCAATCAACTGCCACGTCTCGCTCGCATTTCGAGCGTTCTCCACCGCGAAAATGTAAGTCATAAAAAGAAAAGCAAGGCTCTTCTGTTTTATAAGATTCTAAATATAACCTAATCTAACCTAATCTGTCAACATTTGTAAACGAAATAACAAATAATTACGCAGTAAACGTGATTTTACTATTGGCCTGATCGATTAATAATTTAGTTTGAGCTCTTTTTTACGAGAATAAAGTAAAATAAAAATTATCATTTTTATTGTTTCGATGTTTCAATCACATGTCTCATTATTTTTAGGTTTTGCGCTTCTGCACAAAGATCGAGGAACCGCCAATACCTGTGAATCCACTTAAAGATACGTACGGTGCTAGTTTTCAGGCTAAAAACGGAGTGATATACGACAAGAAGCCGTTCAAGATACGTCTCGAGGCCGGCAAAAATTACTCGTGGTGTCTTTGTGGTCAGAGCAAGGGCCAGCCACTATGTGACGGTACGCACAAAAACGTTTACCTTAAAATCAAGCTTAGACCAATACGTTTCACTGTCACGGAGACCAAGGAGTACTGGCTGTGCAACTGCAAGCAAACGTCAAACAGACCTTTCTGTGATGGCACGCACAAGAGGCCTGATATACAGGAGAAGAAAAATAAAATGTGTGGACAATTGTATTTCTCGATATGAAAACATCGTCAAAGTTAGTTACTTTATATATAATGATAAGCCTCTTACAAATACATACTTAAGAATGTATATAATATACATATGTATGTGATGGTTTTTATTATTATAGTGTGCCATTAACATAAATATTTGTATAAAACAATATAAGCATTTATATCATAAAATAAGAATAATTATTTTCTAATCTCTTTTTTTAAAGGAAGTTATTGTCAACACAATACTAAATTATGATAAAGTAAACGTATAAAATATATACATACATTATAAAAGTAAATTGAAGATTATTTTTCAAAAATAAGAAACATATCGAGATAAATATAAATATATATATTAAATCACGATATTCGATTCTATTTTGTATTTTATTGCGTAATGACGAATTCCATAGTTTTCGCAATTGCATGTAATTATCTTGTCCGAGTGATGTACACTTCCGAAGTCGGAAGTAGAATATTCATCACGCGAGGAAAAAATGCAGGACGCGCGTTACAAATCGCAGTGCGTGCGTGGTGCTTCGAAAACACTGTCTAAAGTCATTAATTTGCATAATGGCACGTGTTAATTTACTGTTGTTTTTCTTCATTATATGTGCGGCATATTTAGCGATCTGCGATCGCTGCTGTCTAATCAATTATCAAGAGTTGCCGCAATATGATCTGATAAAGACCAATCGGCGCTCGAATCAGCCAATCATATCGCGGAATGTGGTTTCTAACGTGGAAGAATGCATGGAATTCGCGGCATCGAAAAGGGCTCTCGCTTTCAATCTTGCTTCGACGAGGAAGCATGTCGGTATGCGATATAACGAACAGAATCAACGTAATTGCGACGTATAATTATGATAATTTTATAATAAACCTATTCATAATAACGAGATAGAATATAATGCACACAAAATGTAAAGTATATAAATAGTAATTAACTTATTCAATTATCTTGATTAATCCAATGCATAATTTGTAATTTCTCCAGTGCATTTCTTATACAGCATTTTTTTTATCTATCCATCTCTTTATCAATACATAGGAACTCGAGAAAATACGTGCCAAGCTCTTCAATGCCCCGAAGATTTCAACATGACTACTCTCGTACGCGCGGCAAATTACAAATACTACAGCATGTACCCGATTTCCTCTCTGTTTGGTAATTGTAATTACGATTATTATCGCTTGCGATTTTGTCCATTAATATTGCGTGCAAAAAATCCTCGGAATTTAAATATCAAATTTATATACAAAAATAAATATAAGTATCCGCGAATTAATCTCCGGAAGCGCAAGTTTGACATTTGTATTTCCTGCAACGAAAATCCCTTGCAGAAAACTCTACGATAAAATGCATCGCTAAAGCGGGGATGTTTGTATTCTCATCCACGAGCTTGAATTACACGGAAGCCCAAAGTTTCTGCCGAAAACGAAACGCATCTCTCGCGCACGTGATAAGCGAGGAACGTACGGAAGGTTTGGCCAGATTCGTGTCACAAAATCGTCCCAGCTTCGTGGGTCTCAGTAACAATGATAAAGAGGGTATCTGGAAGAACGAATTCGGTAATCGCAATTTTTTACAAGACTTCATTAGCGCGCGATTTACTCGTAGAGACGAGAAAAATTCTGTTTCCTCAAAACTCTATTTTTTTCGTCATAGAAAATATATCTCGTATAATTCGACGCAGGCGAAGCCTTGTCTTGCTTCAATTATCGAGCATGGGGCGAGGGACAACCATCGCATAAGGGTTGCGTCGCCCTTGTAAACCCACCTGCTGAGAGCTCCCCGCCCTTCTGGAAAGTGGTGCCCTGTTTTAAATCGTTGCCATTTATTTGCGAAATTTCGCCATTGTTTCAACGATCGTCGCGACAACATCATAAAAATCATAATCGCACGTAACACGAATACGAATACAATAAGGTACGAAAAATTACGCATACAATGTGATAATTGTACATAATAAAAAATAAACTTACGCGCGAGAAAAATCGTTTTCTTAGCAAAGATTCTATGAAGCAAAATAGATATTTAACTTTAATTATCCTACACACAAAAGGGTTTTGTGTCACTTTTATACTACTTAAATTAATTCGATCATTTTAGTAGTAAATTTTGACAAGGTGATTGAAATGAGGAGAGGCAATTAAGTATGTACAGAGATTTAATGTAGGATTACAGGACTCCAGCATTTGCAGATAAAGAGAGATTTACTCTGATGGCTTTATTTACAGGTACGATTGTTAATTCGACATATGCGCTGCTTGGTTGACACGTTGATAAAGGAAGGGAAAATATATATATAACTCTCACTCGGTCGTTGCTTATACATATATATGTACATAGAGCATAGGCCTAACGTTAATAACATTAAAAATCATATGCAGTTCGTAGCTCTCGAATCGTTAATTCCAATTCCCTTACATTCTAGATCATGCTTTCTATAGCGCGATACCTATCACTTCACGACTATGTAGCTAGCAGCTGTTGCTCTGCCGCAACGACATACATAATTCGCTTGACGCTTTTCAATAGGACACTTATCGAAGAGAGCTTCGCTCTGCAGCGTGATATATAAAAATGTTTCGTCTCCTCGATAAGATTCGACGTCGCGCAACAACAATTGAAAATATAAGTCTGCTATTATTATATTATATCAATCCTCGCGATACTTTGCCAATATAGCAATCGAAAGCGTACAAGAGATAGTTGTATCGCGTTTTTAATATACATTGTCTCGATTACACAACTGTTTAATCCGTCAGGTTGCTTGTTAGGATAATGCTCGGAACGTGATATCTTGAGAATAAAGATTTCTTTATAATTGTTACGTATATTCTCACTCAACACGCATAATTAATACTCAACATTATTGTATTTACAGATTAACATTCACATTTAATAATCTTCTCTCAGAACATCCACTTCAAATCAATTCTGGAATAAGATTCGATGGCAAATGGAGAACTGCGTAAAAAAATGCATAGGTAAGTACAAGCCTAACTTAATTAACACATATATTTCTATCATTCTTTTAAGATGATCGCATTAAAGTTAAAAGTGTTTATACGATTGCATTTACAATGATTGAATCGCAAGAGTTTATTATTTATGAGGGAAGACGATGCTCCTAAAAGTGGCGGAATGACGATCAATTAATTAATTTAACAAACAATTGTTTGTTTTAAAAAATATCCCTCAAAGGCATAAGATAAACGCAAATATTTTAATCGAGGCCTTTACGGTGGATCTCTTAATCACTAATAAACTTATATTCAAGATGTAATTACAAAAACAAAAGTAGCAAATATTCGTTCAACTCGCTTAATAACTATTATTGTCACGCGTTATATCTGCAAGAATGTGCACGATGGTGTCGCGTTTGCAAACCGAAGTTCTATATAGCGCCTGAGTAAACATATATTTATGTAAGAAATATTTAAACGACCTGATCTGTGTGTTTGTGTGCAGCGAAATATAAAAGTATAAAAGATGTGATTTCGTTATAGAATACAAATCTGAACATTTTGTCGTATGGTCTCGTTTACCTTGAACTTTTTTTTCCATAAATATGGTCAGTGTTAAAATTAAGAGAGTTGCCCTTGAGTTCATATTAAAAGAAATTAAATGTACATATTACAAATTAAAGCAATAGTCTATCTTACAAAGAGATACCTAAATCATTAAAAAAGCCACTGCATTTCGTTAATTACAATTGGTTAACTTTGTGGAATTATTCTTGCGACGCGCTTTACAATATATAAAAATTTCTCAAATATAATATACGCTTATCGATACGTACGCTTATATATACGTACGTACAATAAATAATAAATGCCATAATAAATCGTAGACCGATATTAGAATATTATAGTACCTTTTTTCAAAAATAAAAAAGAAGCACAAAAATGTATAAATTATTCAAAGTACAAAATTATGAAAAATGTATACAACCGAATATTGTTGCCTTAATCAAGGCAACTTTGTGATAAATTGCATATTAATATTCTTTTGACGTTCGGGGACGGATTACACGCGAAATAAGAATTTACGTTTGAAATGTATGTATATCTTTACAGTACATTATTTTTTTAAGCAAGGAGATTGATAACGTATGTTTATCAGTGTCCAGTATCAATAAAATTAATTTGTAGAGAAATATTTCCACCTAATATAATTATAAATATAATATAATTATATTTGTTTTTCTTGTGAAATTTTTATTATGATTAAACATATGCAATTATAAAGTATATGTATATGTTTACGAGATATTATATTAAGTTACCAACTCGCGCCCCCAAATATATTTCGTTTTTAGCGTAAATATTGCATATTCATATATTGATCAAATAAATATGATAAATATACTGCGCTAAAATTTTGCCATAAATTTCATACATCTGAAAACTATTGATTGCTAAAAATTAATAAAGAATGAAAAGAGAATAAAAATATACATATATGTGTATATTATTTAATATATGCATATCTGCACATAAAAATAAAATCTATTTTCTATCAATCTGATTAGAGGAAATCTTTTAGTCCGTCCTACTGTTTAAAGCATCAAATATATTTTATAGAAAAAATACTGATATAAAAATTAAATAACGTCTCGTATTTCCTCTCATATATTCATATATATAATCATTTCATTCTTTTTTTATATCCAATATTTTTACTTAAAATTCCGTTTTTATATAAAAAAATAAAAACGTTCTTTTTATCTTCAACATGATTCGCGATTATATCGAATAAAGCTACTAAGCTGTCTTTAAAACGAACTATGATGCATATCTAGTCTTTTTTAGTCCTGCTCTATAATACTTTCATTTAGGACAGAACAAAAATCTTTTGTGAATTTCTCGCTGCCTCATTTCCCTACATGTAATATAATTATGTGACGCTACGATATATCATATCGCTTTATGAGCACTGTTTCAAAGATATATTTAATCTCTCTTAGAATATACGGAATAAATACTTCGATAAGCTGGTATAGAAATAAATGGCTCGACGAACACGTCGAATTAGGCTTGTACGGATCCGTACTTGCCCATAATTCGGTATGATATTACTCGTGAAAAATCACCGAGAATCACTTACTCTTAACGTAGAATGAGGCATCCCGGAAATGCAATAAATAATAAAATGCTTTATATTGGCACTCAGATTACTGAAGAAACTTACTACAAAAATCATCACACAATTATCGCGAGGCAGCTGTGTTCGTTGGATAAAAAAAGATCACATATATATTCTTACGCCCTATTGAGCTACTCGATTTTAAGTACTTTTATATATAATAATTTTCACTATTTGATAAAGTAATAAAAAATAAAATAATTAGCAATCTTTTCGTAAATTCTATTAAAATAAATGAGTAAAAATAAGTAACATAAAACAATGAATAAAATGCAAATTGGCAAAGGAAAAGCATGGGCACTTGGAAGGACACTTGCGCTTTTCCTCTTTTTTTTCCGAAACTTTATGTCGCAAGTTTTTTCATGCTATTGATAATATGTGGGGAATGATGGTTCACGTCATAAGAATCTAGATTATGTGCAAATATACACTACATGTTTGAAGTGTTTGATATGTGTCGTGAATTTACAAGGAAAATAGTAGTTATATGGAGCTTGCGAATGTTTTGTAGTTATTTTCAAAACAGCTATGATTATCTAAATAGATGATTATCAAGATAGATGACAAACTTCGGCAGTTACAATGAGATCTGTTAAATTATCGAAAACTGGGTTAAAGGGAAATACTTTTACAAGCGAACAATGATGTATGGAATGTCGCGTGCATTTTTTAACCGGCCCACACAAATACTGTCGACGGAGCAAACAATAAATGAATGCTACCAAATGAATAAATACGTATATATATATAACAACAGTAATAGAGCAATAAACGTTACGCTAGTATAGCAGTATTAGTCTTCTTCTCATTAGTGTGTAATGAGAAAACAACACAGTAATATGGGCAGATAAATATATTATCGATTTTTCTTTCATACGCCTCTTAGACTTTGTTGTTAATCGACGCGTTTGCGAGAAGAGGTACAAGCTGTTCGGAGAGCTGCCCTACCGTCACCTGCAATTCTGCTTGTTTCTCCTCTAACGCGGCGACCTTGTTGAAGCAATTTAAATTAATATCGCGTGTTCTCGCGTGCATGCAATATACCTGTATGAAAACTTAATACTTTATGGATTATTTTGATACTTACCCTTTCCAATAGCTTGCTGTAGAGGGCATATGGAACATAGGCCGGTTGTCCGGATGATACGCCAGGACTATGGTCAGCATGCGGGTTTGTATCGGCTCTAGGACTTTTAACTTTCGGTTTGACATCATCATTATCGTTTTCCGGTTTGTTAACGGAATCCGTGACATTTCCTTGCGTTGCTATTCTGTTGAATAATAAAACAATACTTGTCATATATGTATATTTACATATTCGTGGGATAAATGACGGATTTCGCTAAAAAGTCAATAAATACCGTGAGAAATATCGTTCCTTTTTACTTCCACAGTCTTCTCGATTCGATCTGCGGCGGTTTTTTTCCTTTCCATCTGATTTATTTTCAATTCCTCGACCTGTAAATAAATGAATATAATGTAAATAACAATAATATTAACAACATATTTATGTAATAATCCTTCTCTAATTTTATTTTAAACAATGGTACATTACCCATGGTGCTTTTCTCCTAGCTTTCACTGCAAGTCCATCCGTTTCTTCATCCGGTATTTGTTCTGTTTCAGTGCGTCCATTAGACAAGTTATCCTCCTATAAATTATAAAGAGAATTAAAATTGATACTTTTTAGAGTAAATAAGATTAATATGATTACTTTTTTAAGTACCAAAAGAGTGCTAGGAACAGAAGGGAGCGTCGAGGATGCGCTTACGCTGGTGGATCCAGCGGCATGATGACGTAGATGTTGCGACGAAGGTGGACGTCGCCGAGGCGCTTTAGCGCGAGAAGCTGTCAAATGCGAAAGCGGTGCGCCCTCTCCTCGTTCTACGCCATCCAATTCCTCACGACATTCAGAAGTAGCACTTGTCGTGTTGCCAATACCGTTATTATTCCCCACGTCACTCACGAAACGCTTCAGGCTTAATATAATCGAATGACTGCCAGCCGCTTTCTTATCATCCCCTCCGCTTCCGGTGGCCGTCACCGACGATGTTGACACGGAGGTGGCCATTACTGGCAACATGCTCTTTCTAATGGTAGTATCTATGGCGGGGAAATGATCTGACAGAACACGAAATTACATCGCGTGTTACATACATGGCATGTCATAAAAATGTTTCATTCTAATACAAAGAGAGTTGTATTTTACCTGATATATTACTCGAATGTACATTGCTGGTGTCCAGACTTTTTCTAATGTGTGCTTTTTCGACTTTCTTTGCTTGATGGGAATGTCTAGTGGTTGACTTTATGCTTTGCGATGTTACTTCATGCCACTGGGATTCTTGTTCCTGGGATTCGTTTTCTGCATCAATTATCTCAACAAAATTGTCAGGGAATAAACCCACTTGTCCTTTTAATTCTCCTTTCCACCAACCCTATATAAATTATTGTATATATTAAATATTATTTATCTACAGCTATTACTTATTCATTAATATTGATCAGATTAATTTCAAACCTTGTCTGGTGCATCCTTGGATAAAAGTGTAATTACATCTCCCTCAACCAAGGTGAGTTCGTCTTCATTAGCAGCTTCATAAGGAAAGAGTACCCTACACATTTCCTTTTTGTCTCTTTGTTCTTTATGCCTCTCCTGTTCTTCGGGAGCAGGTGCGGAAACAAAGTTTGAAGGAAATACGCCAACTCTACCTTTGAGACGACCCTTCCACCATCCTTCCTCCATCTTTCCTAAAAATTCTATCGAATCTTGCGGTACTAAAGACAGCTCGTCCTCATTACAAGGTTCATAACTGAAGAGAACCTTGCAAAAGCGTCTACCAGATCCATTTCTCAAAGTAACTTTATCAGATTTTGTACTATTTACAGTCTCGCTACTGCCACTGTTACTTCCATTACCAGTTGTAGAAGAATCCAGTACCTACACATTGAATATTTTGTCATTAAAATAAACAAATATACAGATGATAAACACACAATTGAATGTGTAATACCCTAACGAAATTATCCGGAAACATGCCGCGCTTGTCCCTCAGGGTGCCCTCCCACCATCCGCCAAGCATCATCTTAATCTCGGTGATGATGTCACCCTTCCTCAGCGTCAGCTCATCGTCCTCTTGTGCCACATAATTATATTCCACTATCGCCTCCATCGTAACGGCACGTATTAATATCTACGGGCAAACAGCACGCACTTGTCTCACCATGCGACGAATTCGATCGGATGATTCGTCGCCGATGTCACAATACGATGTCGAGGCGAGAGAAGAGACGACGATGCTCGGCGAAAGCCGCGAGTCGAGAAACCGAGTGAGAGTTCGCATGAAAAAAAACCAGGTCGCACGCGAATGTAATATGTACGTATGTATATCTACGTACGAGTTACGAGGCGAGATGCGTTCGCGGGGTACGATATAACGCGTACTGACTGTCGACGTCTCCGTACGGATAAACCCGGCCGGATTTCATGTGCGCGAGCATCGTAACGCGACGCGAACGCAAACGCGCGATTAGGCTCCGCGGTCGGACTGAAAATTTAGGCGGATCCCGGGGACGGTTAGCAACTTCCCGTACCTGTCACCTCAGCCATCTTGCGCTCTCGGAGACGAGACGATACTCCGCCACTCCGGGGGCGAGAAGTAAGCGCGCGGACGCCACCTGTCAACCATTCTGTCACATCGATATTCGATATATCGAATATCGATGTATCGCACGAGTGTCGCGCATCGCGAATCGCGGTGAGTAATTTGTGGATTTTTACGGATTAGTTGCGTTATTTTACGGTAAATTAGTGTCTCTTCTCGCGAATGAAGATTCGTTGAAGCAAGTTTCGCTTGAAATTCCAGGAGGAAGAGCTCGATTCCGGAGGCGCTTCCACTTTTAATCGCGCTACTCACGCTAGGTTCCTGGCGTTTGGGCGGCCATGTTTTCAAATGTCATTTCATGCGCCTGCGCAGAGACGCGTCTCTCGTGCACAACTTCGCGTGATTCACTCTCGTAAGACAAGGAACGTATACAGCACGTTTCGTTTTTGAATGGACGCGTGTTATAATGCGTGTCACGACTCGAAGCACGCACGTGCTTCAAGCTTTATCGGCCAAAGATGCATACGTATGTATTTCTTATTCCGTATAACCAATATTTTGCGAATAATAAAAGAAATTCCGTGCGATATATCTGGACCGATAGTATCACAGATATTCGAAAAATGAAAATACCTATAAAATATTACTTATATGCATATATCCAGATCAAAGTCACCTTTTTTATCTTGAGATAAAGCATATTTTGTTTTTAGGTTCTTATATTATTATCGATATTGTTGTAATTGCGATATCTCATATATGTAATCTTTTTGTTAATCACGGTTAACTACACGATTTTGAACGTTAAATGGCGCATGACTATTTGCATATCTTGTATATTACAGGTACAATTTGATGATCCTCTGGCTCCTGTCCGTCAATTTTTCAGTGCGACAGTATACGCGGATTTACTATCAGGCCTGATCTACATTTGGAAAAAGAAATCCATGCTGTGACACAATACATGCCGGTTTACATATACACGTACCTATCAATGGAGAGATAGCAGCGTTCCGGCTTTCTGATGCGCATCGAAGCCACAATTCAACATGAGCTCTCAGCTGGAAAACGGTGCGTGTCTTCTCTATCTGTTCAAGTCGCTGATTCACTTCGGTAATCGCATTCGCGTCTAATCGCTAAAGACTATCACGTATTGACGACGAATATCGGAGTATTTCGTTAGAATATGCGTATACAGTTTTATGAACGATAATCAAGTAAAACACTTGTAACAAGTACTTTGAAAGAAGTATAAAAAATTAATTTTTTCTTTTATTTTTCTAAATTTATTTATTTCTTTAATTATCTTCACATTTGTACATTGAAAAATATTATTGAATTTAAATAAGTATTTATTTCAATAATGCCAAATATATTATTTATTTGAAACTAATAATATTGATTTTTGAGGTGGAAATATTTATTTGATATAAGAAAATTCTTTTCGAAACAAATGATTTATTAAGCAGTATTGAAATAAATATTTATCAATTTAATAATTTTTTCAGTGTATCTTTAATTACTTATCCCATTTTAACAACAGAGAATTAAATATTAACATTTACTTCTTTTAATGCACCGTGTGTCTCTAGGATCATTTTTATACTGCTAGAAAAAGAAAATGCACATGTTATAGGTAAAAAGTGTGTATTTTTATTTATATTATTGATTCAGACATCAAGTTGAACAAGTTGTTTCTACAAACTTAAAAACTTATACACTTACACATTTAGATAATCGATCGCGAAAGTGGAATTAAATTACGTAACATGATGCTCGTATTGAGGGTGAGGTGACGTAATGACTATAAAATAAAATATTGTAAAAGCTGTGTCGTTATATCTTACGTTTAACATCTTCGTCATTATTTATTCCGTGATCGGGCAAAGCGTTTCCTCGTGGTTGGAAATCTTATTCTATAAAATTCAAAAATATATAAATTGTATAAAATAACTTAGACTTTTTATTTAATTAAATTCAAGCATTAATATATCAAGTTCTAAAACATTTTATGGTAAAGACCGACTTACTTTATGATATTATATGTATACTGAAAAATTTGGCAACCATAACTGTTTGCCCGATCAATTTATATTCTATTTTATCTCTATATATCTTAACATGATTTGTAACAAAAACATAGTTGATTCCTATCGAGAAACTTTCATCATATCGTTGAAAATCGCAAGATCGTTGAAAATCGAGAGCTACAAATATTGCAGAGCCGTAACTAGAATATGTAATATAAAATTCAAGATATAACTATGATTGTGTGTATAATCTAGAATCTAAAAATTTATAAAACCGAATTCTTTAAAAATTCATAGAGATTTATAACATCAAAAAATTATAAATCTAGCCAAATGTTACAAAATGTTGCGCGAATACAAGATAAAAGAACTTTGAATCTCAAGAACACGATGTGGAATAAATAATAAAATACAATTGCACTCGCGATATAAAAAAACACTAATTACGGCGCTGCACGCGCGGGCACATACGTGGCAGGCATCAACTAAGTCGTATAAAAAATTCTCTTCCGAGAAGACTTTTCAACCGAAGACTAGCTTCGGATGAGAAATCAAGCACTTCGATGAAGGGAAACGAGCCAGCGTCTCTTTAAAAAAAAATTCGTACAAGCAACTCTACCGTCCACGTGGGTAAGACCGTGTTTTTACAAATTGACTTTCCTTTCTTTTACTATTATTTCCTTCATATACATATTTCTCGCGAGGAACAAACACCCGTATATTTGCATTAATCGAAATTCAATAGACGAACGCGATATTACGCAGATAATATTACGGCAATCGATCATTTACGCCAAAAATTCTATTTCGTCTTTCTTTGTCTTTTTTTTGCATCGCTTTTGACTAAAGAAATAATTTTTTTCTTTTCAGAAGGATCAAGAATAATATCATAATATACGGGGGCTTCACCTCGTCACAGACGGCAGCCTACGAAACAAAAATTAACGACAATCACGACAAATCACGCGCGCATCTAAAAAAGGTGAGTTGACGAGAACAGAGCTCACTCAATATCTTGATTTCTCTCTAATCGTATCTAATCTCCGCTAATTCAAGGTTTCCCAAACTTAAAAAATCAAATACTACCGTCAGATAACATTTATTTATTTCAAACGTTTAGTTAAACTTTTGATTGAATTGAAATAAAATATTTAAACTTTTGTCAATTGTTCGATAGTTGCATTTTCGATAGTTGTAAGAGCAATTTGAAGTCGCAATCAAATCTTTATTAAAAATGGCAGAAATTTGTTTGGTTTCATTGTTTTCATATGACAAAATATATTTTGGAGTTGTGGAAAAAAATAGATGTCGAAACATTCAATTTTTTCTCACGTAGTTTGGGAAACCGTGCGCTTTAATTAAAGAGCGCGTATGCTGCTTAGCAGGCAAGATAATTGAATTCTGTAGTGTTTTTATATAAATATGCCGCGATTTATAAATATATAAAAGCAACAAATATATATACCATCGTGTATATATATATATATATATATATATAATATATATATGTATATTTATATATTTTTAATATATATGTATATCGTCTTGCAAATGGTACAAAGCCTATGTCATAACTATGACGTTTAGGATATACGATTAAAAAAAAAAAAAAAAATTGTATCAATCATTATCATTAATCCGTTAACAAGCGCGATTTGCAAAGTGAATTTTTTTTGTCAACATCGTCGCTGCGATGTTGATCGATCGCGACAGATATAAAGCGCTTTTCGTTGAGTGCATGCGTTGTTTAAATTCGATCAACTGTCGCGATGCAATTCACAAACATGCCAGCAAGCGTACGAAAAGCGCGAAAAACTGGATTTTTCACAAAGTTTTACTGGCGCTCTTAATACTGCATCGCTAAAACCGTTAGTAATATATACTACGGGATTGCCACTCGCAATGCGATTTCGAATTGCAATGAACGTGAATGCAGCTATGAAATTGGCGGTGATGCGCAACAATTGTTGTGTATACATAAATATATAAATCAGAAATTACGGCGGTGAAAATCGCGGTTCGCTATAAGAAACGAGGAACTTGATTTTCAAGACTATACTATACAAAGAAAAAAAGAGTATCGTAAAAGTATCCGTCGATTCTTGTGTGATCCCAAGAGTGCAAAGTCCTCAGAGATATTATTGAAGTGAGACTTTAATTGCAACTTTGATCTAGGAGCACCAATATCGCGTTACAATTACCAACTCATAATTTATTCCAATCGATCATAAAGCGATTTCGTACGATATTTCCTACAATATATCTCCCTTTTTCCCTATCTTCGTTCTTCGTCTTTACCCTTCTTAATCATCGATAGGCACAATAAAGGCTTTTGTCTTTCTGCCAGCGTAAACGAGAAGTGCGAATGGTAAAAATGATCTCGTCAAAACAGCGAAGATGATTTCTATTTGTTAAAAAAGATTGTGCGCTTTTCTATGTCATATAATAAATATTGATAACTCTGATCAATATAAAAAGTAGAATTAAAAATTAATCGGTTCTTAAATAAAAATTTATACAATGATTAACTTTTTCGTCGCTTATTATTGAAACAATTATATGTCATTATATTCATTTATATATCATTATATATTCACTATATATATAATATATATTATATATTATATATATATGTATTTTTAATTATGCTATATATCTTCGGTAAATTTTTTATTCGATATTTTTTTATCCTTCAATCTTACATTAATTGATAACGCAAGTTCAATAAATCTGTCTTGCAAGTAAAAAGTGTTGTAGGAAAAATGTATAAATTCAAAATTGAGAAATTTGATAATCGATCAAGAATCGATTGATGTATTCATATGAAATAGCTTTCTCGTTCTTTTTGAAATTAGAAGATTCTGTCGATTTAATCATGCGCGAATTTATTACACTCTGCGTTGAAACGTTCGGGTATTGTAGTAGTGTTATATGGCAGCTAATCTAATCTTTCGCGGCCTAAATCCTCCTGACCGCACATATGGCCTGTGAAAAATGCTATTAAGAATGCTGTTAAGTGCTCCTTTTTCATTTTTTTTTTTTATACGAAACAGGATTGGTGCTGTGACATTCTATAGCAAAATGTATTGTATTGCTAAAAAACGCCATTCACATCGAACATAAAATAGATCAAAATTGTGCTCCATTACGATTATCAAAGCGAATCAATTAAGCGTGGTTTATCACGTACGTGTACATCGATATGACAAATTTGATATACAGATGTCAAGTGCTTTTGTCGATATTAATTTGGCTTTTCGTTTTGAAATATTTTTCAATTTTTCACTTCTATTTTTCACTATTTGCACAAATATCATTTTTAATAAATACTATAAATAACACGGCGGTTTTTAGAATATAAATAGCACGCTCTTACACTATGTAATTTTTATTTAAGGCAGAAAGAGAGAGAACCTTTTTCTTTATATGTAGAAACGTTTCTTTTAATTTTATCTTCTCTCTTAAAAAAATTTTACATATAATAATGCAATATAAATCGCGTCTATACTTGATAAACATAATATTAATATCATTAGAATACTTCTTTCAAATATTTTCTTCCTTTTACTTTTAATTACTTATCATTGCCATACACACAAAAAAATGTAAAATATTTTTATCTTGAGATTAAACCAAGAATAAATCCAAATAAAATTTTTTTATTACTTACGTTTAATTCTTATTAAAATCTTTTCACATTTTGAATTATATTTTATTCAAAGAGATCATACGCTTTGATATTAAAACTATTCTTCCTAGCTTGGTTCTCGATACTTATATATATTCGACAAAGAAACATCTATTTTGCGAACTTTGGCATCTGTGTATCAAATAATCTCGATATAATCGCGCAAGTCCTTCCTGAAGGAAGGGCCCTGGTCCTCGTTAAGAGACAACAGTGGTAATCGCAAGTCTCGTATAGTAATGTCGTTTTCAGACAGTAATCACAATGCGCTTGATGATGTCTTCTTCGCGTAGACATACTAATAATAGTAATACGTCGATTACTGCAAAAATGTATAATGTCGCCTTAGTAACATCGAGAGGATTTTTTTGGTTTCCTTAGGCCTTATCGATACGCCAAGTGAATCTAATCGAACATTTTTAAACTGTCTGATATCCGACTCTTTGCGTCCGATTTATAAATTTAACATCAAAATTTTATAAATGGAAATCTTTGAATCTCTTTGAATGCTTCGATTGATTCTCTTTTCTAATGCTCACAATCAGTTGTAGTCTTTTCTTTCTCACAGCTGATTTTCCTCATGACGTATCATATATTTTCGAATTTACATCAAACTCGAGTAGAACTCGAGTAGAATCATCTCGATTCGTTCGTGTATAAATTAATCGACAAAATCAGCCGATTATTATCAATCAGATTATTAATCCTCGCATTCCTCGACGATACGTTCAGGCATTCCAATTTTAGCGAGAGTTTTGCCGAGTCTGTATATATGACTCGTATCTCTATAAGTAGACATCTACGACGTATAATCGCATATCATAGATAAAATTTGCGATAACTTCGCAAATGTGACTCGAACTTAACTGTAATACGTTGTGTATGTGTATGTACGTGTTCGAATGATTCATAACGCGAGAGTTTGCGTTGAATGACGTCTTATGCGGATTATGAGGATATAATCACACGTCGATTGATCGTCCGTTTCATTCCGTCACCGCGATGCGTCAACGTCGTCGTTCTCTCGCGTGTAATAGAGGGTGCAGGATTTACGAGATAATATATATCTATAATATCCGTTGCGATTATTGCAAGATGGTGTAGTAGTACATCGTGTCGTATACTCGCTCGGGCGATCTGCCCAAAGCAAAAGTATACACCATTCTCGCGTCCAGGTCAATCTCCGTTCGACGACTGATCGCGTTGCGTATGTACAGGTATAAAAACCTTTCGTGCAAGATACGGACGAGATGCTACGCATCCGGGTTTAATACCTGGCTGCCGTCGAAGTTTCCAGCCAAATAGACTTTCGATGATTATCCGAACTAACAGGTGCATCTCCAGGCGTCACCTTGTTGAGACGGTGACTGAGCCTTAATAATACTGTCTGCACCTTCTCTTTCAGAAGCTTCGAATAGACTGGCCTGCAACAATAGCAATTGTTCATCTCTTTAGAAAAGTTCAATCTCGTCAAATAATTTTATGCGACTGAAATCTTTTCTATTGTGTGTATATATCTCAAAAATTATTTTCTATATAAATCTCTTGTATTCTGTCTTAAGAATATATAATATATACATTATAAATGATAATAATGATAATAATAAATATAATATAATAATAATAAACATGCAGAAATAGAAAAGTTTTTTTAATTAGAATAACAAGTAAAATTCTCAATAAATCTTACTCGACGTCCCCGTTGTTCCCGTATCCTTCTGGCTAAGGTGAGAAAAGCTTCCTCGATATTGATATTCTCCTTGCACGATACCTCAAAGAAAGGCATATCGAAATTTTCGGCAATTTTTTGGCCTCTTTCGGCATCCACGGCGCGATGTGCGGTTGCATCGCACTTATTCGCCGCTAAAACTTTTACCACGTCTGGTGACGCATTCTAAACGATGGAATTGCTTATGATTCATACTTCCATATATACTATAATTCTATTGCATGCAAATGACTTTGAATCATCGGTTGGACAAACATTCTTTGAAATTTACAGCTGTCTCTTTCCCAGATAGCATCATGTCTAAAATGCACACATAAGACATCTTTAAGAAATCTTATGATATGATATCTCAAAGACATCTTAAAAATATCTTAAAAATGTCTTATAGGTGCATTTTGAACATGATGCTATCTGGGTCGTAAGTCTGCTAACTTTTTTAAACAAATAAAAAAAGGCTCTCAATGAATTTATATAAATTTACTTTACATATTTTTTTCACACAAGTAATTTTCTACTGTTACAAACATTGTTGTTCTATTATTGCAAATTTGAAACTGATTTTTATTAATCACTAAATTTGGATTTTCTCATTTTAAGTTTCCGGATTTTATTTAAGCTATTTTTCAATATTTTGAATGATTTTTTAAATATTAAATTCTTTTTAAAAAGACAAATACTTAAAAATTAATACAGCGTGCATTCATTCTTGGTCGCGTAACGTTCTATTTTTAGACTTTCGATTTCTTACTTCTTGAATATTTCGCAGCCAGTAAGACAGATGGTTAAAACTCTCCAAACTAGTGACATCGTACATCAAAAGAATACCCATAGCGCCACGATAATATGCCGTTGTTAAAGTTCGAAATCTTTCTTGGCCGGCGGTATCCCTTCAAAAAAAAATACGTTTATAAACATATGAATCTGTCTGCTTCTACATATAACATTTCATTTTACACATAGATTATAGATATATATTTATTTTATATTTAAAACGCTTGATAAACAAAATAAAATTGTCTAGCAATAAGAGAAAATTTTTGTTTCTTTATAAATGATGTAATTTCTAAATACATATATGTTAGTAATTAATCGTGATTAATTATTTATCGAATTTTCGCGAAGAGGTATCGATTAGTACTCACCAAATTTGTAATTTAATTGGCGTTCCATCTAGATTAATGATCTTTTGTTTAAAATCGATACCTGCAGACACATTTATTATTTAGAATTATTATTATTTGTATAATAATATATGTATAATTTTCGAAACATTTAAAAATTGAGCAAACTTCTAATATTTAAATAAAATGTTTTTCCAAGACATTGCGATATCTCAATTATGTTTACAGTACAAAACTATTGGATGTTATCGTTAATTAGACGGCTATCATGGCAATTTACACGCAAGAATTTTATGTGTTCTTCGCGTGCAAGCAGTATAATTAAAACTTTATCCAATTGCTTTTAATGGATAATAAACTTGAAAAACTTTATTAAGTATTTTTGGAGAAACAAAAATGAATACTAACAGTGATTCATTATGATTATAACACTTTATATCTATATCGAGAAAAATGTATCACGCATACTTCAGTCAAAATTTAAAATCAGAAGATGCATCACAAGATCGGGGCGGATAATCAGCTGATCGATGTCGATTCAATGTATATATATATATATATATATATATATATATATATATATTTTACAGAATATACCGCGTCAATTAACCGTTACACTAAGTATATTTAAATTCAAACAACACTATTTTTGTGGGAACAGTGGGTGTCTTCCAAAGAAAACGATATTAACATATTGAAAGATAATCTACTTTTCGTAATTGCATTATTATAAAAATACAGTTATACATAAAATTAATATGTATACCATTGTATTTAAGAAATAAACTGTGAGATTTTCTCGCACTTGTGTATTCTCTTTGATAATATGTAAGATCTATGTCAGGGATATATGTGACCCTATAATAGCTGACGGTTAATTAATAGCTGTGTGTCAACGATATACAGGACCATATTCGCGCTTGTGTTGGAATAAAAATTAAAACGCGTGACTTATTTTGTTCCAGGAAAAGACAGTCGAAAATTTAACAGACATGTCACGGTAATCATCTAACAACGGAGCAGCCGAAGATCTGAGTCATGATCCGCACAACTTAGAGATGGTCGTCAGTAACCAGATAAGTGATTACCTTGTGCACCGGATTACGGTGGTATCTCACCTATCGTCGAGATGTAAGTGTCGTAGTACCGTTCGTCGCAGTAACGATGCACGATGCAGGTTTTGCCGACGTTCGAATCGCCCAACACCAGTACCTTGTACGTGGCTGCAAAGTCCAACGCCATGTTTGCCGTGGTGTTTTCGGGTGGTTTTGAACTGTTGTTAGGTCGACAACAGAGTCGTCGGCCGGGGGTTGCTCTTCGCGAACGCGCTGCTCCCGAGGGGGATGGAGGATCGATTCGACGCTTGCGCTTTAGCCCCCTCGCGACAAGGGTTAAAGGTGTCCTCACAATCGTGTGTGACTTTTCGCTGCTCATGCGCGACTTTTAGAAGGCCACACATCCGTAAATGCATCTCAAGCGCTCACGTGCGCATCAAGATGTAGAATATGTAGACGCATATGTAGACGCGCGCGTAAAATTGCGCGCATATGTTGAGATAAATGTGTTAATTCTTATATGTGTGATATATTTTTATATATTTGGTATATATTTATATTGTATATTGATATATATTTTTATATATATTGGTAATCGACGATGTTTATTAAGAGTAATGTGCACCTGTCACATACCTGCAGTATAATAAGAAAATAATATGATAAGAGAATGCGCAGGAAAAGATTTTCTCTTCTATTTTTGCATTTTTTTTGAACATTGCATCTTATCTGAGTCTTTCTCATGCATAATGAACCTCTGTATAGCACGGAATAATTTAATGGAAAAGTGTCGGGATTTGATAATTTGCGGAAATTTGCATGTGTAAACATGTAATTGCGAGGGTGTCAGAAATAATTGAACAACATTGGAAATTAGGCCGCTTTATTGTATTCTCATTATTAATCAGACCAACATATTTTTGCCGAATTCATATTTTTGCATAGATAATCGCTTTTATTTTTCTTTGTCTTCTTTTTTTCTTTTACATTCGATAACAAAATACTATCGGAATCAGATTCTTAAATTAACAATTGTTAGACCACTTAGCACAATCGTTTACTCTACACGTAATGCTAGTTTGTCTTTTTTATGAGACAAATTTTATATTTTAATTTTACATATGCTATAATTATACGTCTCTCTAGAATTAGATAAAATCTACTCAAGTACTTTTCGGGAATGGCTTTGTAGCGAAATATATCCGACGATAAATACGCTACAATAATTAAAAATTAGTTTTGATGCTTTGGTTGATTTAAGCTGCGCTTATTAATTGTTTCACATTATCCTTCAGGATATCTGTATATCTACTATGCATAGATAATATATCGCGGGTAAATCATCAAAAATTTCATTACAGAAAGGAAAATAAGTTTTTAATTCTTATCAGATTGTAAATAAAAAATCAACATGTTAGGGTTTCGTATTACATTATTACTAACACTCAAAAATTATTACGCCTCTAAAATTTTTTTTTTAGTAAACCAATATTTTTGAAGCAGCCATATCTTTCTTCTCTTTCTCTCTCTCCCTCTCTCCTTCTCAGTAGTTGCCGTTAAAATACGCGAAAACTGCTTTTGCTCGAAATTGTTTATAACTTTAGTTAACAATAATCATATAAATAATATATTATGTGTAGGCACTTTATAAGCATTATAACTTCTATGAGAATTAGGACACTAATTTTGGTTAGCACTGCTTGTAAGTTGTACAATCTTGTCTGTTAAAATACAACGTTTTGTTCATATAAATTATCTATCGTGATATGTCCGCAATGTATAATACTTAAATTTATTTAGAGTAACTTTAAACGCTACCGTTTGTAGTTTATAACGTATCCTAAATTTTGATGCGTGGTTCCAACATTAACAAAGTCTTATATTTAATGCGGTTTCTTTCGCTCGCAAATCTCGTATAAAAATTTGCTCGAAACTTAAATAATTATAACTTATCATAAATATATGTACGAATATTTCATAAATAAATAAATAAATAAATAAATAAAATAAAATATAAAGAGTTGTATAAATACAACAATAAGGTACAGATTAAAGCAATGAGAGAATGTGATAACTTAAAATAAAATAAAGCTCGTAACTCAAGTTCAGTCGAATCGCTTTCAGAATTCACATTCTTTGACGACAATACTATCACGGAATATGTAGGGCAACTTTGTAATGTTAATAAAATGCATATCGTGTTACAATTTGCGATAACAATCAATCTTATCGTAAGGACGAAAAGATTTGGTGTTTACATTAGACCGAGTCAGACATTTTGCGAGATTCCGCATTAGGGAAGAACATAGTAAATTAATCCTAAAGCCATTCTTGTATTCAGGAAGAATGGGATTAAGTAAAAATTACCAGCACCAGTACGTTAATTCTTTCCCATATCATCGGATTACAATAAAAATGACCAAATGCATAATCCGATTACTACGATACTTGACATGTACGCTAAAGAATTAGGAAGATGAATATTATAAGCGCTCTCCCATTTAATCAGCCACAATGGAACGGCGACATGTAGAATATCCGGAATCATGAATCCCAGATCGCGTATGACCTTTGTATAAAACGCTTGTTATATCAACTATTTCTCTCTTGTATGATTATTTGTGCATTCTTACCTGATGTGCGTGGCCCTCTCCTCTGACAACATTTACAAAAAACTGATCCCATCCACCGGCCATAATGTGCAAAAGAGCTATTGCGGATATACCGAACGCTTTTCTGTGAGTTATAGCATTTTTTTTATCCGCCAAATGAACGACCCAGGCAGTGGATATTAACTCGGTGACGGAAAAGAATAATTGATGGTACCACTGGGAATAGAAATCGTCGTTCCAGTAGTTAATGTAAACCCACCATGAATAATAATTGGAGAACAGGGCGGTTGAAAAGAGAAGCATCATGGATTGTCTCAGTCTCTGCTTGATTGCTAATCTTGCCAAATGCTTCATTGTTTCGTAAAATGCAATTACTCCAATCACTACAAGCATCCATATTTTCAACATATTTGAGGTGGCATTGAAGTACATATGCTTGTAAGGAGCAATACCAGATTCATATGAGCCTGCAAGAGAAAAATTATACAGTATAATATCTGTTCTATAACCGTGGTATTCAAGAAATATTCATAAAATTCTTCAAAAATTTTACGAGTATACCTTTAAATACAGTGTCCCAGCATGAACAAGAGCAATACCGTTTATCTACAACTCTTGAATAATCTTGCCAAAAATAATATAAAGTTGCAATCTGCAATGGTGGGATGGTTAGGGGTCCCATAATGCCCACAAATCTTGAGCCACATGTTGCAATGTTTTTACATATAATGCGTTTTAACATCTTTAATATGGCCATTTTTTTGATTGAGATGAGAATGAATAGAAGACAGATGCTTAAAATTTTTTTTATGAATTAAAATTATCTTCCTTATCAAGTATATATCTTTATCTTACAATAAGTATTTTGTTGCACTGTGCATTGGCTCTTGCAATTATTAAATATTTAAAGGTAACACAAGAGCACTTTAACAATAATTAAAATATAAAATATACAATTCTGTATTCTATACAGACAATATTTCTCATAAATAACTTTAACTCTCACTTGAAAAATGTTATCATTGTCTATTTTTTATAAAAATGATAACTTCTATAAATTATATTTTTCTTTATATTTCATACACAAAATTCGAATTTTTGTTATTAATATTTTTTAGAGCCATTTTCTTGAAATTATTATATAATATTATATCGATAAACAAATTCCATAACCAATTGACACATATATTTTAACTTTTTAAGTTAAATGAGTCTTTAAATATCAAACACCGGACGATAAACAAAAGGCCAAACAAAACTGCTTAACATATGTTTATTTTCACAACACGTATTTATTTCACATACAATGCACGTATTATTAGTCGCGCAAACTGGTGTGAATTTGAGATCCTTTGGCTGTTACGTCATCGCGATTAATCGTGTTTAATTAGGCGGCAACTGGCTGCACGAGCAGCCGTTGTCTCGGTGCTCTCCGAGGAAATACCTCCGACTTCACATGTCAATGAAGTCGATGTATGACTTTACGAATGGGCTCTTTAACCAAGAATGGACGGCCTCGTAAACAGCTGTCTCTTATACTGAGCGCCACCTGCGTACGCTAAGTTACTCTCAGAAACTTGTTCTGAATGGCAGTAGTAGTAATTGATGTAGTCCGACTGCAGATTCGGAGTTAACTTTACCATTTTCGTCACGTAAATAAATTTCAAAACTATATCAATTTTTCTAAAAAAGAACACAGATTAACATGTTTTTCTTTATAATCAATTAAATTAGATAAATATTATTGTCAATTTGAAACAAGATTCAGTCTGAACTCCTAAAATATCGACAACTGTCAATTCAGTGTTCTATTACATAAGGAATAATTTCTATAAAGCTATTATTGTTTGGATTCTTCATCATTTTCAGTGCGAATGGGTGCATATTATTCACATAATTGTTATATTGAAATATTATTAACAAAAAGAATCATCTGAACGTTGTTACAATTCGTTACACAATTATTTGCACCCTTGTTTAACCTGAACTTTCTCCCTTTTTTTAACCTAAACTAAAGAAAAGATTTCTTGTAAAAATGTTTGAAAATTATATATTGAAAAATATCTAAATATAAGTGATATTTATAATATATACATATATAAAATTTTCTTACATTTGTTATATTCATTTGCGTCTTTAAATTTTTAATAAATATTCTACTTTTAATCATTTACAATAGTTAAATTTTAAAAATGCCACAAAAGTACGAAACTAAGAGCTTCCGATTGTGTCGTTGTTGCTATAAATGGCGTTGTCAGTGTCTGATACCACGAAGAAAGAAACCACATCCGCCCTTTAATAGTGGATCGAAGTTAAACAGCTATCTGGGTTTGCATCCTAAATTAAAATCATATGCAACAACTTCTCCAGCCGTTGGTTCTTACAATCCTCGGCCAATCGAGCGCAAGTCTTTAGCTATTAGGTAAAGATCGAATTTAATTATTTTTATTTCGATATAGTACGAAAGAGTTTTTAGAAAGAGGTAAAGCAAAGAAATTACAATGCAGTTGGGAAAGACAACAAGAAACGAAAGAATTCTCTGCAACAATGGTGGTCCAGAAAAGCTTGAGAACTGAACATGGACCCGGAAGTCATGAGATAATTCGTTGGCCAGAGAATGTATTGATGGCACCTTGTAAAAGTTTGCAAAGGGATGTCGCTTTTGGAACCGTCCCGCGGTTTCAATCGAGTTATAAATCCATCACCCCTGGTCCAGGTCAATAAAGTTAGTCTTTTAGAGAATAATAGAATTATCCCAATGCAGGATTAAAAAATAAATTTTTTTAGAATATATTTCTATCTTTATATCACAGATTTCTACCTTTTTATCACAGATCATATATAAATTTAATATATATAAATAAAATCTAAGATTTTATTTTATCTAAATTTAAATTAACAATTAATTTGTGTATTAATGTGATTATCAATTTCTTTTTTAAATATTTCTTTATAATTTTTATTCATCTTTATATTAATATTCTTCTGAAGGATACACACTTCAAACGCATAATCCTTATTATTACTTGGACCAGAAGAGGCTGAAAGGTTATTCTTCTACACCTTCTTTTGAGTTTGATGGTCTGATACCTAGATTCCAAGAAACTCTAAAAAGTTGGTCTTTACCATGTACTAGGTAAAAAGTCTTTAAAATGTTACCACATTCTTTTAAACCATATCTCTTATTTATATTTTTTCATGACTTTTAAAATGGCAAAAGAATCGATTTTCACATAATAGGTACAGCGTAAAGCATCCGGCCTCATTACAAATCTTTCTCGAAAAAATGACGAGCAAAAGAGGACCTTACGATCTCTTTACAGGTATATTAAAATAATATTTTTTTAAATTTATATAAATTAAAATATAGCATACGAATTAATTTTTTATAATTCTCTCTGACTGACAAATAGCGTAGATGTCATTTAGAAAATCTTGTTATCGATATACGTTATTTTGTATTTTTATCTTTTCTTATGATATACATTTATTGTATATATATATATATATATATATATATATATATATGTATAAAATAAAAAACTTCAAAATTAAATTAAAATATTAATTATATATATATCGAATATATATAAACTATAAATTAACTTGAGGACCGAGAGATGAGACTACTATCAAAGGATATTGGACGCATTCGAAATCAAAAGATTACGGTGATTGGCCGCGAAAATTGCCAGATGAAATGGAAAAGCTTTCGAACAAATGCAACTATTTTAAAGGGAAATGGTCTAGGACTTCTAGGTATTAAAATAAATTATAGAAATAAAAAAGAATAAGACATAAAATGCATTCTAATTATAACACTCTTATATACTTATTATATATTCAATGCGACAAATACAACATTTCTCTCCAATAAAAAAATAATCTCTTAAAGATTTACAAAGAAACCGGTTACAAGATTCATGTTACAATATATCAGTACGTGTTACAAGGACCCCGATGAACCAGGGCCTGGACATTACGATCCTCGGACGCTGCGGAAACCGAGTACACTCAAAAAATATCCCTTCGACAGCAACATAGAGTTTGTACGGCCGCGTCCACCAAGCGATTCTTATATTTTTCCTAGACCAGGGAGATATAAGATTAAACAAGATTATCGTATAAAAGGACATGGATGGACATACGTTTTTAAGAGCAAAGTGCCCAGAACGATCCTTGCGGATATTCCGTCATACAGCGATTTTTAATCAATATTTCTGCAGGCATAATAATATAAAACAAGTTATTATTGATATATAAATTCTTGATATAAATAAAATCTTTAATAGCATTGAAGAAAATTGAGTTTATTATTTATAATTAAAATCAAAATATATTTATAAAAGTATATTAATATAAAATTTTACATATAGAATTAATTTTATCGCAACTTTTTATCGATCATCAAAAACTGCTTTGATGTGAAATCTACACGAATCGCGATAATGACCTGTAATATAACCTGTGTTCGTGTGTAATGAGGTCGATTCTTCTATGCTAATTTAAAAATCTAACAATCCTATCATAGTACAGTTGGAGTGATCTGTCGATTCGTCGTTTTTCCTTCGACGGTGTTCCTTCAGTGCGAGAGAGGTGTGAGATTTCGTGCCAGTTGGAAAATGGTAACAGGGGAACTCCCTAAGATAATTATGCACCTGAGTGATTATCCCGGCTGCACCGAATGCATAATTCATACGTATGCTACGAACTTTGAACCGGCTATATACGCAGGCGCATCTTCCAGCCACACTGGACGCACGTAATTGTATTTAATCGTTTTTCAACGACCGCCCCTTTCATTCAAACCCTTACCGCTCACGTCATTCGTTTATTGAGCTACGCCCCGGTCTTAATTATCGCAATAAAGGAGGCAAAATTTATTAGATTGAATGAAAAATCGCTGCATCTGCAGCAGCAGCAACCATCGCATTTGTACAACTTAAATTAGTATAACGCGGAAATTAATAAAAGAAAAGAAAGAAGATACTTTGATTTCAAAATTTAACATATTTCTAACGCGACACATGAATTTGGTAAATTATTTTTAAGCAATTAAATTTGTACGTGTGTATTAAAAAGTAAAAACAATCAGTTTTTTTATGATAAAATAGCAAACACATATATGTACGTGCGAGAAAGAATTTTTTGGTATAAATTATAGACGTATCTAAATATGCAAGAATCTCAGGAAGAGATCTCACGCGTATATTTAAATAGAGAACCGGAAATATCTCGCTCGTGCGTAAGAGAAAAAAATGAGGAAAATTTCTCGCAGCGTACCATATGGCGGATAATTTTGTAGATTGATGGAGGATTTCACGGAGCAACTGACACCTCTAGTATATATATGCGTTCCCATATAGGCGAATTCCACGCGGCTCTCTGTCGTATGGGACGTTAACATTAGTTACAAGGGCGAATTAATTGGGACGCAATATTAGGCGTTAATAGCTTTCTAATTTACGGTCGACGCCGACGTGTCTCTCGTAAGATTCATGTCATTAAACTTGTATGTTGCAAATGATAGATATGTAACACGACAATATAAAATTTTTACAATATAGACAATAATTTTTCTATCTTGAAAATAAAACTTAAGATTAAACAATTTATTCTATGTTATGACTTGTGCCTTATTAATCTTTGTTAGTTTATTTATAACTATGCTATACACATTCTATATAATCTTTAAATCATGTATTTCGTAAATTTAAAAAAATTTTTTTTATGTAACAAAGAGTCTATCAAAAGATTCTATCAAAATTATTTTATAATTTATAATATTTTTCATGTGTATATATATATATATATATATATATACATAAAATTAAAATTGTTTAAAGAGATATCTATAAGAATTATATATGTAATCCTTTTAGATATATTTTTTAAAACAATTTTAATTTAATTAATCTTCTTTTTTGTTTCTTTTTCTTATTCAATTTTTGTTCTGCTTTTTTTTCTATCTATCTTTATTTTTGAATGATGTTTTGTACAAGTTATCGATAGATTCTTAAGTCTTGTGTACACGATGTTAGAATTTGATCTAAATTCTTGGACCGAGAATGTACTTGTAGCCAATTAATTTGCAGCTTTTACAGAAAAGTATGGTAGTTTTATTGTCTACACATTTCTCGATTTAAGAACATAGGCAAAGTTTCAGTATCATGTATACAAGACTTTAGAAATTGAAATTTATTCGTCGGAGTATTATATATCACATGTGATTTTTGTCAGAATACTTCCAAACATTTTGAAAACATCTTAATTCTGTCTCGCGAATGGTCCATAAATGCTTTGTGGAACGTCTTAAAACATTGTTTATTATGCGTTCTCTTTTGTTCTTGTACGTGTCGCGTGGCAAGCCAAGACCTTGCTCTATTTTTGCTTTAGTTTTCTTTCAAATGACAGGATTTTCTAATCTCGTAAATCACCAAGATAAATACTTTCAAAGAGTGTTATATAATTTCTTTTTTTTCTTTCTCTTTTTGTCTCACTGTTAAAAAATAAATTTAACATATAGTTATATTTCAATTCTGCTTGGTCTTTCCTTATTCGTTTTCTTTTCTTTAACATCGTTAACTTTTGCATCCCATCTGATTTAAAAAAGACTTTCTCTAAAGTAAAATTGAACAGGCACGCGCCCTTTTGATATTTATATGGACCACCCGCTAGCAATATTAACCCAAAGACCCAGTGACCTTAAGCTTTTTCAAAATAATGCGAACCACAAGCATGCTCTTTCTTCGCTTTTTTTCAACTTCTCACAATGACGTCTACCTCTCACACCAAGACTTTATAGACTGAAATAACGTTATCGTTGAACATCTCATACAATACATTGTTATTGATTGTTCACAAAAATTCGAAACGTATAATTTTTCTAGACAGGATATTTGAGAGTTCCTGCACAAAATGATACCTGACTTGGATTTTCAAGGCCGCAATTAGTTTTATTAGAATGGGGAAAACGGAAAGAAGACCAACGAATCCATTCATGGCTAATGATGAGACATTATTCTTCGAAATTCAATTAAGAAGAAATAATTCATATGGAAAACACTAAAATTAACTTTTTATTGTCGATTAAAAAATTAGAAGTTAATGTAGATAAAACATATGTATAAAAGATGAGTCCAAATCTATACAAAAATACATTGCTGAAGTGAATATAAGTGGAAACTTGATCGAACGGAAGCGGCGGTCACGCACTATGCACAGTAAATTATCGATGCACACGTGCCTTTTGTGAAAAAATTCCGTCCCATCGGGTGCCTCGCCCGCGCCCAAAAGGCCGCCATCGAGGGTGAAGGTGTGATACGTTACAGCTGGTTAAACAGCTGCGGGGTGGAAGGATAGCTATGAACCGCCGCGACAAATTTCGGTACTAGCTACATATATAGTATCAGAAGACCGCACATAAAACCGCGAATTAGGAGAGCTTATATTTTTCTTTCTCTTATTTTTCGCGAGATTTTCCATTTATTTTTGGACGCTCGTGTGTGATAAGATCGTAAAAGAATCGACGAATTGTAAAAGTGCGAAGAGGCGACTTAATTATCAATGAAAAAATACGATGATACAGATAAATCTTCAATCTTTTAATAATAATAGTTCTTTTTCAGTCATCATTTTTCCAATTATTTAATCCTTTATCATTTTCTATCCTATGAAGAGTTGCCTCAAATTTGAAAATATATATAATGATACAATAAATCTTTCATAAAGCAAAGCATTTCTCACACAACTTTTAAGTTAATGATAAAGTACTTAAGTCGAGGAACAATAAGATATAGAGTAGAATTTTCCCTTTCTCCCTTATGAAAACTTCTACAGTAATTATCTTATAATATAATTGAGAAAATTCTATTTTTTTCACGGATCTTCTTAAATTACAATATATACACATATCTTGCCGCAAGAAAACTTTTGGTTTGACAGTAATTATCGAAAAAAATTATTCTTGTTTTCACCAGTCTTCTCGAATTCTATTGCGCAAAAATATTTTGAAAAAAGAAGAATAATTTAAGCGCATGCGAACATATACAGGCAATAAATGCAGACAGTTTTGAACGAATAACACGAATGCTGAACACGTCGCGCGAAATTAATCAGTAGCGTCGAGTCGTTACGTCCAATTAAATTCGTAGGCGATCCAATTGGAAGTTCGAGACGTATAGCATGTAGGTGCATTTAATAGGCGTAATAGTAAAGATAATGGAAGAATATAATTTTTCGGCGATGGAAATATAGTTATACATATAGGTATATAAGGAGCGCTCTCTTCGTTTGTACGCTTTGACACGTCTCAACGACTCCCGATAACATATTAATATTAAATTGCGGACGACGGAGAGCGACAGTTTATTGATCAATCTTACGTTGACGATTCTTATTTTTATTATTACGACTCGACGACAATTCGATGGCCGTCGTATATTTAAATAATAACACCGACTGCCGAATTATGATAACGTCGTTAAGTACATCGTCAATCTCAAACGAATATTTTGCTTTAACGCAAATGATTTCCACCGTTTTGCTTTAATGCAAATGATTTCCACTATAAAAGATTAGTGGCGTCTATTATATTTTTAATAAATTTATTAGTAACGTTTTTTTTGTAGACGCCACGGAGTGTAGACTCATTTTCTTCGACAAAAATGTTAATCTTTTCATGAAAGAATTTGAAGTCAAATCGCTTTAGTTACTACAGGTATAATAAATAATAAATACTGTACTGTTTCTTTCAAATTTTCCTATGCATTAAAATTATACAAAAATTGGAACAGTGATTTTCCAATCTTTATATAACGCTGTGATAAGTTCAACCCCCTTCAACCTCCTATTTCGACCCTCAGTTTGAAACTCATAATATGTATCTTCAATTTGTGTGCAGAGTACGCGGACATTGATATTCTTGTGTAAAAAAAAAATAGTTATTACGCGTACTGCATAATCAAATAATAATTAGAATCTCATTTATAAGGAAAAGGAAGTAATTTACTTCACATCCTAGAGAAGATATGCGCGTATTCTCTTAGGATACAATATAATAATAACAGAGAAATGATTAATTACGTTAGTTTTACAAACTGTTATCTTCACACTGCCCGTGCGGATAATTTCGCGCGTAAATTGCCACGTATAGGTCGTAAAAATGGATCATTATTGCGGTAACGGTAACAAGAGAGAGAGATGATATCCG